AATCAGTGGTTGAAGAGGTGAGTGAATTCCTTTCACTGGCAAGTTCATTCTGATCAATATAGAATCAAATAAAAACTTTGCATACGTATTTATATTTTCTTGCTTCACCAAAAACTCCCTCGTTCAAAGTAAAGTTTATGGAATGCTATTTTATGCCTAAACAAATCGTCTTTGAAAGGCATAGAATGACCTCCTAACCCTAACCCAAGAAATGTCAAAAAAAGGCTAGGTTGCTGTTGCATAAATCAGTCATTCCATTAGCTCCTCTGTTTTACCTTTCAGGCGCTCCACAATTTTATTCAACTTAACCCTTTCACCGCCATTGTCGACATTTGTCGACGTCGACGTATGCCTCTCTTTAAAAAAATATTATTCTATTAATTGCATAGCAAATGAACTAATTATGTTTTGGTTGGGTTGTCCGTGAAATTATACAGCTGCTAATTCATAAAGTAAGCACCATAGGGTTTCTTTGTGGTGAATGTGGTCCCTTAATTGAGGGCGAAATCTGGCTGCACGCTTTTCGACGTTAGACAAGAACACTAGAAAAAGGCTAAATATATTTTCAATTTTACTGCAAAAAAATCCCTCAATCATGCCAAAATACAACATTTGAAAGAAAGTTCAGCCCTTCTACTTTGCATTGATGTGTCTTTTGTAAGCAGTTTCATTGAACAAGCCGAGAAAGAGCTCTTTCTTTAGGGTCCATTCCATGAGACAAGTGTTTCCTTGAACTTCGCTTGCAAAGAATTCTGGGTAACGGTGAATTTTTTGGACACAAAGTACCCCACACCTTCCATTTTAAAATTTTTTTAAGTGTCGAGTCATTCGCTCCTACCAGGAAAATTTCAAGTAGATTCCTCTTTTTAGAAGCCAAAACATGCAAAAATATACACGGTAGGTTGCGAAGTCAAGCACAAGACAGCCAGGGAGACGACTTCACTCAAATGGCGCCATTTTACACAAATCAACGGTTGCTCGCCATTTTCTTCGTAAAATCGCTTCCCACTTCTGATTTCTTCCAGAAGATCGCTTCTGCCACAATAGTCAAGCTTTAGAGCGGATTTCGTATGACTGTGCAAAAAACACGATACGTTCGTGCTGTGTCCGTACCGTGCCGTAGCCGTGATGCATTGAAAAACCTTTACTTTCATTTGAAATCCTAGAAGGCGAGGTTCCGTGACCGTGCCGTGTCCGTGTTGTGATCCGTGCTTTTGCACAGTCATACGAAATCCGCTCTATGATGCAAGTCTAGGGGCTCTTGTGCGAGAACTTGACTTCAAAAACACCTAAAAACCGATTTTTCTAGTTTTTAAAACGAGCTGATTGCTAGTCAAAGCCGCGAGCAAAAATCTTACAGGCATCCCTTGCAAAAGTGAGCCTTCAGTTATCACGAACAGCAGCTGTTTCCTTGACAACCTTAAGATTAGTCCCGAAATCATTTTTAAATCATTCTGCCTTAAAACAGTCAAATTTAACCACAATTTTTCGGCGGTAAAAGGGTTAAACAATTAAAACTTTGAAAGTATATTATTGTCCACACAACTCTTATCACATGATTTCTGTTTTGTTTTGTAGTCTCTGGGTTCACATCTTTGAGAACAARCACTTAAATGAGAAATACTTTGACGTCTCTGACACCAACATGATACGTGAGCATGTCAATGTGTCAGGTCGAGGAAAACATGTCTTCCAGTGCCGTTTTCCATTCTCTTGGTTGGTTAAGGACATGGTGGATGGTCTTGGGCGTGGTGGATCTGATGTTTCAAGTGGGTGCTCAATTTAATTAAAGAAACGTATTGTTTTATGGTTTAAATTCAATAATTCAATTCCAGTTGTCCAKTTTGACGGTTTGCAACATTGAGGAATCTCTTTCATTTAAACACATAAAGCATAAAGTGAATTTTTACACTTTTCTTAACCAGTTGTTTCCCTTACACTTGAATGATCTTTCTCTCGTCAGACCGTTCTTGTGGAACAGAGGAAGAAAAACTGCGAAGTATCCTGGAGAATTCAGAMCTCAAGGATATCCTTGACSTTGTGAAGGAAGAAGGAAATGAAGAAGAGGCAKCAGAGCGTTATTTACACGACTTTGTACACATGGTTTACTTTCCTACGAAGCAGTGCGAACGAGAAGAGATTGAAGTTAGTTCACCATCTTCATTGTCAAATATTTATGCCACTCTAGCTTTTATTATTCTTTTTAAGAAGTAATTCTAAACTGAAAAAGTAATTCTAAACAAAAACTCAAAAGATTTGGATAGCTTAGGCGCAAGAAATTCATTGGAGTTATTACTATAATTATAAGGTTATTATAGTGGACTACGTGTCAGCAATAGAGAGCGTAACTTGGGCTCAARAGAGTTCAATAACCTGTGTCAGAGTGTGGTCGTGTTTCTGTTAAATTCTTAATTCTTAATTCTCGTTTTTAGCTTGTCAGTCGATTTATCATGATGGCGGCAGAGAAGGAAGATGACAGTGAGGAATACATTTTCGACATTGCAACCATCCATGTCACCTTCAATAGAATCAAGTCAAGAATTAGTAATTTCAACCAAATGGTCCAGATAGAACCAGACATTACAAGACTGTTGCTTAATCAAAGACARATGGTAAGAAATACTGGTATTGTTAAAAGACGTGTATCAAGTTTGATCACTGGTTAAGTAAGAGAACTAAATACGATTCTCAAATGCCAAATCATCTTTTTTGTCTCCAGTCAATAGATGTAGCAGCTCTGACAGTCTCTCTGGAAAAGCTGGAGCCAATACTTTCAGAGTTGCAAAGTCAAGAGGCCAGGAATCTGTGGTGTGGCAAAGTATTAGCTATAAGGAGTAGTATTGAAGAAATGACATCAAGAGAAGCATTTTCYAGGAAAAGTGATGATATGAGTGGATATGATGACAATGAAAAGGATCTTCTCAGAGATTGTTGGTATGCCAAGCTATACTAAAATATCTTGATGGAGTAAAACTTTGTTGTTGTCTCTGTTGTTTATTCCCGTTCATGTATTCTTTTCCTTCCTGCAACCTTTTTCATTTCCCCCTCCCTTCAATTATTTTCCCATTCCATCCTGTATTTCTCCTTCATTTTAGTTTTTGTGTCCACGATGTTTTAGAAGCATCAACGTGATTTTCTTTCCAGGATGATGTGGCAGCGTCTTAGTGCAATCAGRCTCTTCATTGCACATGTCTGTAACACTCGAAAGTCGAAGAACTCTCGCTATCTGGCAAAATTGTCCAAGGTATTTCGCTTTACGATGTTGAAAGAGGGTTTCGTTTTCTTTTAAATGCGAGCTACGTATCCTGAGGTCGCCTGAGATCCATCTGCAACAACTCCTCCGATTTCCCATTAAAGCTATCGCTAATTAAGAAGAGAGTCGACTGACTGTGTGTTTTCTTTTTGTGTTTTAAGGTGCTTGGTCGAAATACTAATTTCTTGACAACAAGAAGTGTTCGTTCATTRGAGAAGTTTCTGGTTGAATGCAGTCACGATTTCAGAGAACAAAACAAGATGTAAGTATATCTCAAAAGAAAGCACAATATGGAGCATAATATGACAGGTTAATAAACGTCGGCCGCCTGTTTGGTATATTAGAGGTATATCAGATAGATTCTGTTRARGCGTAACCAACAGGGATGCCGGGACGTCATCCTATTACCTTTTTAAAATAATTAAATATGCAGTCTACAAATTTGCTGTTAAAGATTTGTTAATTGTAATTTCCTTTGTAGAGATACAACATGTTCAGTGTGTATGGCTGAAGCAAAGTGTCCATCWCTCACACCCTGTAATCACTGTTTCTGTTTGGACTGCATTAATCACTGGATGAGTAGCAAAGATTCTTGTCCAAAATGCAGGGTCGCATTTCCAGCTGGTTTCAAGCCCACAGAATCGGAGAAAATTAAGTAATTGTTTTTTTTTTTTATATTTAAGCCTCAGGCTCTTTTTTCTTTTTTCGAGCAAGTCGTATCGAACACTGCTTAACCTGGTCAAGTGTCATAACGGTTCTTGGAATGACCTGGAAAGTAGCGGAATTTCATTTTCCAGTTCCTGAAAAGGCACGAAATTTTTTTCAGGGGCCAAGGGAAGTCCATGATGTCATGCATATTATGCTTACGACTACGAATACGTTTAAAGCACGTGCATTGTATTTTATGAGATAATTAGTGCCCTTTAACCATACATTTCATAACACGGCGTTCAGATGAAACCATGGAAAAATCCTCGAAAAGTCCTAGAAAAATGTCATGGAATTCTAAGCTGTCAAAATAGTGCAAACTCTGTCATTCATTTGGTAGTAATTTCTATGTACTCTATGTAGACAAAAGACATACTTAATTTTAAATTAAGCCTTTGTTTCARCAGAAATGCCAATGAGACCATCAGCAATTTCCGAGATCAGTGTAATTCGTACTTCATGGAAGTGGTGTCATTGTTTTGTTTTGGGTACTCRCCTTGTGGTGWWCTGGGAGAAGATACGTACAATCTCTTGATGAGCTATGTTACTGGACAACAARGRGACAGRACCAAACCTTTCTCTCCCTTCATGGATGCAATGGATGTAACTCCAGTTGTTAGATCATTCCTTTTGCAGCAGCTTCTCAAGTCAAGGTAATTTTCCTGTATTCAGCARGATTCAAACTGATAGCTGATATACAATGTTGGTTCAGTGCTCAATGCTATGTTACCGCAGCAGTCACGGGTCCCGTTGAAGCTTCCATGTATTCAGTCATCTAAGATGGTGTTGTTTCACTGCGACTTTCAACTATTCACTTCTCTAAGTGTTTCAATTAATGATTAATTGTTTGCWTTTTTGTTTGTTTCTGAGGAAGTTTCTTATTCCTTTGTTTCTACAAAACAGTGAACTGAGTAACATTCACTGTCTAACATTCCTGGTGCTTAACAAATGCATAGCTATATTTGGTAATGATATGTACGTTACGTTTCATGGCGTAGAATGACTATTGTTTCGTGGACATATTTAAATGAGCCGCCCCAAAACAAAGCCTCTGAAATAAATTGCTTTAATTGGTTAAACTTATCACGTGAATGGTTAGTGACTTAGTGTGAATCTTTGGTTCAAACCTACAATAAGACTTTATATATTCGTAATATTTTCAGTGACCAGAAAGTAAAGGAGTACATGACACAATTTATTCAGCGAGCCCAAGACTTGGTGCAAGTGGAGTTGGTTGCTGTAGAAGTCCTTGTTATGTGTGTTCAGTGTATGGAGGTGAGATAAACATATTAGATCAGGGTAGAAGTGAACACTTTCGAGTTTGACTTTACTGATTCCCAGTTTCTGGGAGTGTGCATGGTCGTCATGTATTACTATATTTGCTTTTGACAGTTACAAKTTGTCATATTTTGTGACATAGCTGATATTGTTTACAGAAATGATCTCTGACCGAGAAATCGGCTTAGGCCCCTGTAAATGAGATAAAGCTAGGATGCCCCTAGGTACAGTATTAAAGCCAAACGTTTTTGTTTTGTTTTTCATGGAGGATTTAAGTTTGGCTCTACTTGCTAAGGGCACCCTATCTCATTTACAGGGTCTTATAGGATAGAATTTGACAACAAAGGACTTATTTATTGCCCTCACTTTTTATCATAACAAATTGCGTAGTCACCGTAGAAGCTGCAGAGCTTTGACTTGAAAAGCGAATTCACTCATGCAACGGGGGATTTCTTATCATTAAAGTTATTTAACCTTTTTTMCAGGATGCTCAGAACGGCAGGTTTTCTAAAAGAGCAAGCGAACTTCCACTGGAACATAAAGTTCCTCTGATCGATAAGTTTTGCAAGAAGGSTTGTTCAGTTTTATCGAATCGACAATGCAGCCAACTGAATGTTGATTGGCTGGAAGGGATTGCTCTCTTACGTTTTTCTCTCTCTCTTGCCGCTGACCTTATGTACCAGTTTGTCAATGRAAGTCAGGAAATGCAGGTTCCAACTGTAAAACGTGCCTTGAGAAGCATTTTTGATGAATTGCAGAAGTTCTTCTGTAATACTACATACACAAAGCCTAGATTATTCTTCCTTAAGCAGTTATCCAGGAGATWTGGGTTCGAGTCTATTGGTCTTGTTGCTAAAARGTTTGGTTGGATCTTGCCTCAGGAAGGCTCGGAGACTTTCGAGGTAAAAACGTCCTATTCTGATAACCTGTTTGAGTAGAATCTGTCAGACGACTTCCAAGAATGCGATATATGGATGTACGTACACCGGTCTCTGAGAAAAAAGCGATTGTCGAAGGAAGATTGCATGACCATGAGGCTATGGCTTATTGGTTTAACCTTGCTTAAAAATGGAGATTGAATGGAGCAAATCAGTATAAATCAGTTGTTATTTTTCATCAATTWGCAAATCCCATTGATGGCTTTTCTATGTGTTACCCTGTTCAGTGCCGTGTACTGCCATATATGGAAGTCGTACGGCAGATATTTCTCATTTGTTTGCTTCATTCCTCTTCGCTCGTTCCTTCATGTGTTTGAAAACGTATGGTTTTGTAGGTCAGCCAAGACAGATTTCTTGCTTATGGACGCGAATATCAATCTCTGCGAGAAACATTAGCAAGATCGATTATTACAGGAGATATGAAGGATGTTGAAGACATCCGGCAGGTAGGTCACCTCACCTCGCCTCGCCTGGTGCAGGAAATGACGCAAACTTATTGAAATCCATGAAAACGTTATGGAAATAAWATCTTTTTATTCTGTGCTTACAGGGCATGACACTTAATATGACATCAAAGAACGTGGTTTTGCTGTTGGGTCTTTTCCAAGAAATCACTGCAAATCCCGGTGTCCCCATACCGGAAGTGGTGGGTAGCAAACATTTAAAYCTTTAAAACGTTTAACAAAAAATATATATAAACTTATATGTTAATAGCACAGCAGTATGCCACACGGCCGCAGGAAAATGCTCTTAATATAGAGCTTGCACTGTATGAACACAATTTCTAAGTTTCAGCATTTCTAATTATAAAATTTTCCAATATTCCTTTTTAATTATTTGTTTTTTCAAATTTTAAAATTCAGGTGATGAAAAGTTTGAGTTCTTTTATTCAGGAATCMACATCGTTAAATGATTCGGTAAATATCAGTTTTGAACTCGCACTTCTTAATAAGTATATTTATTAATCTGTATCTCTGTGTTATGGATCAGTCCAAACATTTAGCCCAAGACTTGATTACCGAGGAACACCAAGACACTCGTACCATCGCTAGTGTTTTCGGTCTGGCTGGTCACAGTGCCTGGGACACAAGTTTGGTAGAGATAGTTGTTCACCTTGCTTCTGTTTTGTGCTCAAAAGGAAATGATGGAATTGTTGGTCCACTAATCGCTTTGGCACTTAACCCTGCATCTTGCATTGTAAGCGTGTTTTCCAATTACTGTAAAAACATATATTTCTTATAACATATTTCCCTGAATCTTTGAATCTCCATCAACGTTCTCATAGAATCGTCCGAAAGCCTCAAAATAGAAATTGCAAATGAGACAAAAAACTTAAAGATAAGATGATTTCAACAAATGAAAATATAATTAACCGCAACCTCAGTTACCATGACTACATATGTGTTACTATTTTTATTTAGAATTCATTCCTACCCACAATGCCTGATGACCCCAACCAAGAAGTTCGTGCGGCTGKWAWAGGCACCATGTATGGTAAGTCGTAAAGTTTGTTTTCTCATTGTATTATGGTGGAGTGGTATGTAGTGATCTTTCTTCTTTGTTTCCATCTTAGAATGCATGAATGGACATCCGTACCTKGTTACCGAAGTAAGTACATTTTTGTACCAAGCCTTAATACCGTGTGTTAATATTGGCTTTGATTTGATATTGTTGCAATATTCTTATTTGTAATATGCACATGTATTATACCATATCCCTTCGCATTATAAACAACTATGCCTAAAAAATTCCCGATATATTCAGTGTGGCCGTCCAGTGGAAAAGAGTAGATGTCGTGCACGTGGTTGTGGAGCTGAAATAGGAGGAGTCAATCACGTTCCTGTTTCTGGAAATAGAGCGGCAAACACGTAAGGAATTTGCTCTTTTGTCTTGTATCTTTTATTTCCTCTCTATACAATATCATATATTTTCTTTTACTAAGGAAAGCTTTCATGAAGTCGGAAATAAAATATTAAAAAACGCGCTAACTTATGAAATTTTGCCAGATTTTTTAAAAATGTTTTAGCCAAAGAGATGGATGAATTATACAATACACAATTAGCACCTTCTTGCATCCATTGCGGTTTGACTATTAAAGCGGAACTGAATTTACTGTGTGCTACATTAACGTTCGTGTTGATCTGATACTGACTCGCCGAGGTAGTTTGCGTTGAGTTAGTTTGTGAAGTAGTTTGTGATGAGGTAGTTTGTGGTGAGGTAGTTTGTGGTGAGGTAGTTTGTGGTGAGGTAGTTTGTGTCGAGGTAGTTTGTGGTGAGGTAGTTTGTGGCGAGGTAGTTAGTGTTGAGGTAGCTTTTGTTGAGGTTGTTTTTGATAAGGTAGTTTGTGGCGAGGTAGTTTGTGGTGAGGTAGTTTGTGGTGAGGTAGTTTGTGGTGAGGTAGTTTGTG